GCTCTGGTTTTAAAGAACGTTGCAGAACCATCTAAAGCCAGAGCCCTGGAGTGGCAGGCAGATGTGGAAAGGGCTGCTGAAGCAGTTTGGCCAGTGAGGTGGAGATGTGGGGCTGCTGGAATGCTCCACTGATGAGGCAGACCCATAGACATCAACGCTTATGGAGTGAAGGTTCAGGGAGCCCCCTCTTTGTGGGCCACATGAAGGTAGAAGGCTCTAGAAATCATCTGGCCTCCAGGCAACTGAGCACCCCCAGCTTTGCATGCCAGCACTCCTTTGTCATCAGCCCATCTGCCAGGCAGATGAGCTGGCAGAAGATCAGACAGGTACAATGAAAAACTGCTTGTTTGCCAGCACACCTTCCTCAGAATAGGCCCTTATCATGTGGCATCTCAGCTTTGTCTGAAATCCAGTGGGAATGTGTTCACTTGGAGCTTCTCCAGCCAGCACTACAGTTTAACCCTGACCAACAGCTGCAGGCTGAGATAATGTTTGTGGGCACAAATTTCTGTGCAAATATATGTTTCATCTATTTTTTACTTTTTATGAATGTAAACAAAGCTAATCAGTGAAAATAATACTTTGGAAAGTTGAAAGACCTGTTTTTATTAACCTTGAAAGTAGCTCCCCTTGAGAGGTTTTCTTTCACCAGTCTAAAAATTTAATATTGTATTTACTGTCCTTGTTGTTAAAGAAATATTTTAATGAAGCAAAGTGGGTAATGACTTGCAGACCACTAATTGTCACAGGAGCAGAACATTAGAGATTATTAAAAGAAATAGGCAACCCCTTATGCTAAAGGTGGAATAATCTATAGGACCTTTGAGCCTGCCCTGTAATTCCATACTCCTTGAAGCTGTCAGAGTTTCAGGAACTCCATGGAATAGAGGATTTGTGTTTTCTAAGACATAGCACTACCAGATTGCTAAAACATAGCACTACCAGAATATTTTTGTTTGCAAATAAGTCCTGTCCTTTCTCCTGGCTGTACTTTTTTCCATTTCCATTATTTTCTTAGTTTTACATATATATAAAACTAAAGAACCATGGGGATCAACTATCCCCATGGACATAAATTATTAATCAAAATATAGTGATTTAGCAGCATCAAAAAATTGTGCAATGAACTTTTCTAATTAACTGGTATATGAAAAGCAGAAACAAAATGCAGCTAATTTAAGGGTTCATTGGTTGGATTGAAGACGAGAGAAAATAGTTGACTTTGTTTTGACTCCATGTTTTGACTTTTTATCTTTTCCCTCTTTTAACTCTGATTAAATTACCACTAGTTGGTTGGATTGAAGACAAGAGAAAATGCTAAATGGTTGACTTTGTTTTGACTCCATATTTTGACTTTTTATCTTTTCCCTCTTTTAACTCTGATTAAATTACCACTATAAAATTTACAATGGTACAGAACAACATGAAGCCCTCCTCACAAAAACCTCTGATTTCTAGAACTAAAAACACAACATAGCATAAGGAATGAGAATCCAAGCTTGTCTTTATGTGATAACACTGGAAGATAATGGTAAGGGGAAGGTTTCCAGAGAAAGAGCATCTGTTTCATGAGATATGGAAAAAAAACCAAGAACAAAACAAAACAAACAAAGAAAAATCACATGAAGTACCTTAGATTAGTACAAAACAAAAATTGAAACTCTCATCCTGTTATTAGAGATGCAGCATTTGATACATTACATCCTCTTATTCTTTCTGCTGTTTTACTCATTGCTTTGCCTTTGCTTCTTAAACACTTGTTCATATAGAACCAAAATCAAGAGAAAACAACAGGGTTTACCTCAAACTGGTTATGTATCAAATCATGCAGAAATCAAAGCCATCTTGGGAATCCCGGGAAATCTGCTCTTAGTGTTACAGCTATTAGTACCCATTCAATGGTTACAATCTAAGATTTCAGAACATTTCCCCATCGTGCCATTCACGAGGGTAAGTTTCATTGTGCCATTGCTTAAAGTTAGCTATCTTTCCAGAACTTGCTTGACTCAAGATGGATATTAAAGCAGATGGTTTAACACTTTCCCAGCTGGGGTCTTTTCTCTCTTTCTTTCTTTTTTCTTCTTCCATAAAAGTGGCTGTAAGTTTTTTGCCACTTGACATATTCACGTGTCATATTACATGTTCACTCAGCATATTACATGTCAGAACGTAATTTCTTTCCTTCTAAAATTCTTATCTTTCCATCTAATAACTTGTATTTTAATAAGGACTCACTGTTATGCATCTACTATTGTATCCTAAATAATCCCATCATAAATCAGGGATTATTTCCTATCTAAAAATGATATATCCTCTTAAAAACAATCAGTTGTTTTAACATATATCAGTTGACTCAAAATACACAGTGAGGAGGGATTTTCCTAGGTTTGAAAGAGTTCAAAAATGTCACCCCATCTTTCCAGCATGGGTAGAAATTAGTAGATGTATTCAGAATTATGGTTTGCTGGTTGAGAATAACTTTCACCTTTGAAGCTGCCTGAGTTATGCTTTAATCAGTGGAGCTTTTTCTTTTTTTGAACGAAGTTATACCTGTGGTTCACTACCCAAAACATCATGTGGAAGAGTCCATGTATATAGACTGTTTCAGTAAACCTCACATGAATAGTCTTGATTTTAATGGGTTGAATAATCTCATTCTGAAAGCTAAGAATTCATGAGTGCAAATACTTCAAAGTGAACTTCAAGGAAAGAAAGTGAGCTGGAAGTTTATCCTTCTAGCATAAGCTTCAGCCTTGCCAAAACCTACCAAACTGTCCAGATCTGAATCTAAAAGCACATTTTGGCATTCCAGACCAGCACTGTCTTCCACTTCAGGATCAAGCTTTACACAGAACTCAGATTTTTAGCCCAAAATTTCCCCACATAGACAGGTCTAGGCACACTGGTCTATGCAGAAGCAACTTCATTTGAGAAGTCAGGGGTTTTGCTCCTGATTAATCTTCTCACAACTGAGACCCAAAGCAAGAAGTACCTACATGAGGAAGCAGAAAACAAAGTTATTGGAGGTGATTGGCTTCCCCCTTTTCCCACTTTTGCTAAGCAATCTCCAGTTATTACTAACTTAAACATTGCTGACATTGGCATTATATTTGTATCCCAATAGCTCCTCTTCCTCATAAAGGCTGTGCCCTCTATGTCCAAAACTTCCCAGTGCAGCAGAATGCTCTAACCTTCCCTGATCTGACTTACCTTACATTAACTGCACTTGTCCAGCAGCCTCAGCCTGGGCATTTTTATCAAAAATCATGGCTGGAGGACCTACAGTCTGTTTTTCATACAAATCTGAGCAGTTAGATTCTTAGACCAACAGAAGACTTGAGATCATATCTCTTTTCATTCTAAACAGTTTTGACTGTAACTGCCACTTTACAGAAGAAAATCTGAGTTTCCAGGCTACAGGAAGGGAAACTGACCACTCTTGCTTCCCAAGATGAGCAGAGGAGTAGCAGGAACAGGCCAGAAGCAGACAAGTGAAAGGTGGTATGATGGGGTAACATCATCAATGAGGACATGTAGAAATGAGCAACACGGGTTCTCAGCACCGTAGATAACTCTGGAGTTTAATTCACCAAGTGAAATACAAAAATTAAATGGTTATATTAAGTGGAGCTGCATTAAATGTCTGAATTAGAGTATATTATTTTAAGAGAATAAAACCACAAGTGGTAATCTAAGTATAACTGCAACCACGCAATATGTGCAACTGAAATAGAGCGCCGTGTTGGCAAAACATTGGGCTGTTTCCTAGCTCAAAGCTGCATGGATCAAGCAAGCAGCACTTGTGAGGCTTTTGCATTAGCTTACTGAGCTCCTATCACAGCTTGGAGAGGAGCAGCCAGTCACGCTGTAGACAGCTCAGATAAGTGTTCCTTGAAGACTGACATGTTGTTCCCAACTCTCTTGTCTAATTAAAGACCCAAAACATTATTCTACTGCAGCTGATGGCAGCACTCACTTGACATCAAAGGGAATCAAGATTTACCATTAATTTATGAAGAACTATTTTTACCATATGATTAAAAAAACAAAAAAAACAAAGCAAGGCAATTCACAATGCATACCGTGGTAGCACTTTGTGTCTGGGTGCTGGCAGACCCCAGTTCCACAGTGCCTCAGAGGTCCCCCTTGGAGCTAAGAGATCAGCTCCGCAGTGAAGTTGCAGTGTATGAACCAAGTTCCAGACATCTCCAGAGATCCCAGCTCTGGCAGGAATCCCATCCTGCTGTTCAACTGGCAACCATGCTGGAAGACTGAAGAGCTTGCAAGCTAAATAGCCAAAGATACAAAAAACTCCATTGTGCAGATAAGAAGGCATATGCCAAGTGCCTCTCCTGAGTCTCCTGCTTTGTTTTGTGTAAGAAAGACAGTTTACAATCAGGGCATAAGTGCTGAAAGAACCGTGAAAAATTAGGGATTACACCTGAGTCTGGAAAGCCCTGGCTCCCAAATAAATAGGGGGAAAAGGGAAAGATCTATAACCTCAAAATTGTGATATTATTACTTACCATTCTCCAGATGAAATGCTGAAAAATAAGGTCTCAAAAAAGGAATCAACTGCGACAAAAATTTCTTCCTCCACAGAATTTTAATTTGGATTTTAGGCAAGGAAATATTTTTGCATAATTTATTGTTGCTGCTCTACAGAGACTTGCTCTTTCAGTCATAGTATGGTAAGATAATTCTAAATGGAAGGTCTTGTGTGAAACCAAACTCTAATCTGTGTTTTGTATTTTAATGAAGATTCTTTCGCAACATATTCCATTCTGGCTAATGAGATAGTAGCAATAAATGCACCAGAAAGGACAGATGGAAGATAGTCAGCTGTCTGAATCAGAAGATTTTCAAAGTGCAGTAAACAAATGAAGCACACTTTTCTGGCTTGAGGCCAAGCTATACTCTAGGGAACTGGTCAAAGAGTGGATCATGAAAAGCTTTCTGAGAGCAGCTAAATTCTACAGCTGTGGTCTTTGTTTTTCTAGTACTTTGCAAGAACAGAAGGGGGAATTACGAAAGCGCCTATCGTACACTACCCATAAGCTGGAAATGCTTGAAACAGAGTTTGACTCTACACGTCAGTATCTTGAAATAGAATTGAGACGTGCTCAGGAGGAACTTGAAAAAGTAACTGAAAAGCTGAGAAGGTTAGTAATGAACTTTTTGAAATAAATAGAGTTGTTAGAATTTTAAGAGTGACTGTATAAAAGGTGGATATAAGTAAAAGCAAACACAGTTGCAAACATGCATGATTAATTATTTATTGATTACACATTGCGTTTTGTATTTAATATATAGATTTCATTTACCTGAAGGCCACATAAAGTTATTTACATGTGATATGCAAGATGTCTCTGTACTAAAAGCAAATATGCAACTAGAATACACCTATATATGTGCAAATATAAAATTATTTATGTATAAATGTACATGTGGGGTAGTGCCAGATGGCATTACACATACAAATGTTATAAACCCACTACATATATATACACATATTATTTATACTCTATATATATGGATAAATCTTTTATTCAATGACTTTGCACATTTTCTTTGTTTAGACTTCATTGTGCTCATACAAGAGAATAGAATTTGGCTCTCCATTACTCAAAGCTGAGACTATGTTCAATTGAAAAAACATTCAGGCATTTTGCATTATAGTACAGCAAATAATTTACTTTTTCCAAGCAGAATGGAATGATGCTGAAAAGTTATTATTTAAAACTGTTGTAGCTGCGGTACAGTGCTGTTGCAAATGGGGAACCCAGTTAATGTTAGTGATAAATTATGTTAAGCTTGTGCTCCTGACATTTCTGGCACTGATTAAAATGGTCTGTAGACTTAGCCTAAAATTTATCATGATTCTTAATATCCACTTTTGCATTTGTTCTCAAAACTTCTGAAACTAGAATTATCCACTTATACAGGAATGTATTTGCATGTCTTGTGAGCCTTTCTTAGACTGATATCTTAATGGAACTATTTGATTAATTCATTGGATGACTCAAAATGAAATTCAGAATAAATCATTCCAGGGCAATACCCAAAGAAATGTTTTTCATTCCTTGTGGAAGGCAAAAACCAAAACAATGACAGAAAACACCAATAAACTGAGTCAACCAAAGCATTTAATGCAAATTTTAAACAGAGTGAGTCTGTAAGATCTCAAATTAGGAAACAGCCTAGTGTGGTCTTATAACTTAAATGCTTCTCTAACTAGGGGTGCTTCTCAAAATGAGTCTAAAATATAGAGATGTCATGGTGATTTTGAAATCTACACATATCTATCCAGAGCAGTCTGGAGGTTCTCCATATATTTTTCTTGTCAATATATTTTTTTGCACCTAGAGCAGAGCCACTGGAAGTAACTTCATTCTTGATGTAGTTTTGCTTCGATACATTTCAGGGCAGGGAACACTGGTGCTCTTTTCTCTTGAAGCATCAATTTGGGCAGCTGCCATAAAGCAGCAGAGGGGCTGTCCATCCCACTTCTGTTAAAACAGATGGGCTTCCTGGTCAGTAGAAAGCCGCTTATCAGCTGCACTGGGCACCAGTGAGTTAAGCACCCTTTGAAACTCAGGCCAGGGGCTCAGAGCCAAGTCTAGCACTCACACCAGAGCACCACGTTAGCAGAACAGACTTTCCAATATTCTAATGGAACATTGTACCATATTATGAAGAAAACTTATATTAAAAATTATGTTTCAGGCAGGTGATTACTCCCCTGAAGACATATCATAATGGAAGCCAAAAATATTTTACGAGGTGAGCTTTAAAAATGTTTCTATTGAGAATAGCAAGGCATCCTGCAAGTTGAACATCTAGATTTGTCAGCCTGGAGAAGGATAATGTCTGAAAAAAACCTGTCATCCAAAAGCTTGTCAGCAACATGTCACAGAGGAAAATCAATGTGAGAAAAACATAGAAGTAGAATTAGTTTCAATTATGTGTCTCTTCCTTTATTCACTGCACAGGGAGAGAAATTCATCCCCCCACAGATGAATAGGCCCTGTGAAACAAGATCCCACTTGTACACTGGAGAACATTTCTGTTATTAAATTTCCTTTTCTGTAAAGTGCAATATTTTCTTCCAAGAGGCTGAATGACTATCCTTTTGTAATCCTTTCTGAAAGTCTTTGTCTTAATTTACCCAGAATTGCCTGTGCTGTTGCTAGGCTTCCCCAATTTTACTCAGGAGAGGAGGTCACCTGTGTGGCTCAATGGTCAAGTTTTCAACCTCTCTACAAACATTCAGAGATGGCCTCTTTCTTTTTTCTCAGTGGGAGAACAGTGCTAGCTAGATTTGAAAATTAGAACTGTAAAGCATAGGTTCAGCTTTGAAAAGTGACTGAAAAGAGAGGGGATTTCATATTCCTTGCAGTGGTCCCTTTATCTGACATGGTCAGCACAGCTTTTATAAGTTAAAATCTAAAAAATTTCAAAATCCAAACTTGGAACCACATCTGGACTCCAAAGTTCACTTTGGGTTTCTTCCTTGAGGCCTTGCCCTGGGTAACAACTTGATGAGGTCCCCGTTCTACCTTTTAACATAAAGTGGAGTTATTTTAAGACATGAGAAGTAAACTCATAAAAGCATATATTTAGCACTGAGATTAGCCCACACATATAATTATTTCACCAAAAGCAAGACATTTCACAGACTGAAGGGGTGTTCTGAACAAGAATCCTGGAGGAAAAACTATTGTTTTCATAAGAATGTTGGTATAACCTGTGATAACAGAGAGAAAAAATTTTTAACAAGCTACTCTTTCAAGAGTCACTTTTCAAAGCTAACTACACTCTAGAAGAAATTCTCTTCTTTAAAGAAAGTCAGCTCAAGACTAAGTTTTACTTTTGATGTATTTATTGGCCTTAAGAGGGCTTGAGATTGAGTGGAAGCAGAGAAATAGAGGCTTTTGCAGACTCCCTCTTCAGTGGTGATCTGCAGCCTCAGGGAGGAGTGTGTTGTTAGGTTAGAGCACAGACACCTGACATCTTCAATATGATCAGAATATTTTTCATTAGCCTCTTATTTGGTCAAGAATCTAAACCTTTGTTTAATGCATGCACATATATGCATCTGAAGTCACGAGTATCTCCTAGTGACATGAACGACACAAAAATACATCAACACATGATAATAGGTTATCAATGCACATGAGTTTATCCTTCTAGCAATTTTGAAGCATAGTGAAGCCTACCCTTCATTTTATTTTCAAAGCCAGATTTACAAGGTTAAAATATTTCATACTTCACAGTGTTCAGGCTATCTGGGTGTATTTTTTCTGCAAACAAGGTTAAGTTACCATTTGCTCATCAGGACATTTTCAAATTTGAATAATTTTCCCTACTTTTTATTTCCCCTTCTCTTTATTTTACAGTTTTGCCTAAAGATTGATCTGACTCTGTTCCTCTTTTATCCCTTAAACACTTTCTTCCATGTATTTCTGGGTCCATTTGTCTCCTTGCCACCTACATTTGCTGACACTTCTTTTGGCACAGTGAATTTCCAGTTTGGGGTTTATACATATACGTGCATGTGTATGTGCTTGTGTACATGTGTATGTGTTTGTGCTTATTTTGACTACTTTTGCATACTGTTCTCAATAGAAACACTTTTTGAAGCTTCCTACTTACTGTGGAATTTTTTTAGATTCGATTTGATTGTACTGGGAGGTGGTCATTTTCTCAGTGCAAAATGAATGTGTTAGAGAACTAGAGTTTATGGGCTACTTTCACCTAAACATGCAACAGGCAAAAATTGGATGGTAAAGGAAAAAGAAGCTACAAAGCGAGAAGCAGATTGTGGTAATCTCCTGCAAAACCCTCTACAACCATCTATGGCATGGAAGTGTTATCATTGAAAAATAATTAATGATAATTAACATTTCAATCATCCATATCAAGAGCAAAAGTGAAAACAGAAGCTGAGGAACAAACCCATTGTTACCATGATAAGTCTGCTATCCAAGCAGCAATTACTTCTGGTTTTATTTGTGGTCTCAAAGTTATGAAAAGGGAACCTTCAGGGTCTCCCTTGAGCTGTCCACATCAGCAACCACTGCAGAACAGCCTGTGGTGCAGGGGTACTGGGGCTAGAAAAACCCTAAACCAAATTTTTTCTCCCCTTTACTTTCAGGAAGTTATGCAAGTGCTTTTGAACCCATGAAAACTTTTAGGGCATTGCAGGTGCTAATGTTTAAATCAGTTTTTACACCACCTCCACTTGAACCACAAACTGCCTGGGTGCAAAGAAAGTTTAACCTGTTCTATTTTGCTTTACTAGATAAAAACTATAAACCATGACAGAGAAGATGCTGGGGCACTTCTAGGCTCAGCCAGAAGGCACTATTTTACTTTTACTCTAAATCCTTTCTTCCTGCATCATGGCATGCATCCTTACAGCAAAACAAAATATTTGTGCTGAGTAGCTGCAGGCAAAGTTATTTTAACCCTCCTTGTATCAAGATCATCTCTACTTTCTTCTGTACCACAAAAAGATGGGTACAGAGTACCCTGAAACTTGTCTCTGTAGTGTTGACATCTAAATGGCTGGGAAAATCCCAAGTAAACCTGGAGCTACACAAATCAATGTCTGTAGAGAGTCTTAGTGGCAAATGCTATGAGGAGCATGGACAATGCAGAGAAATGCAAACTTCAGTCAATCCTTTAAGTCACCTGGACACAAACACAATAGCACTATGAGAATTGGTGAGTGTTGACCAAGTCTCACAGTGCAAGTCTCAGAGATTTTCAGCCCATTTGGGTCACCACCTTAGCAAACACTATTTAGCACAGATCCTCCTCACAGAAAGGAGGTCTCTGTAAAAGCTGGCCACATTGAGACTTCCCCCAGTGCATATTGGAATGACTGCCCTGATTTTGGGCTGACCCCTGGTACCCTGAGGAGGTTCACCCATGGGCATGTCATTATTTATATCCACAGAGCAGATGTCCTTGGCACAGACATCCCCTCCCAGGTCTGTCAGCAGATGTTATTGCAATGCTGGGAGACCCAGCCAGAGCTCAGCATCCCTTAAGAGGGGCACTGCAAGCCACTGGTCTGCCCTGAATGGAGAATTCTTATCATTTAACTGGAAAGAAAGTCTCCATGGCAACAGAAGCCGAGATAAGCATCACATTGCCAAGAAGGGGTGGGCTGGACCTTTTGATTTGCAGCTATGGCATGTTTGGAAAACAGATCATTCCACTTTCAGCAGCCACTCCTAACCAAATTATAAACAAAGAGACTTCTTTAATCCCAGTCCCATCCTGATAACCACAGAAACTACACCCAGGTCCACATTTCTGAGAGGAAATGTGTTTTGCTGTATAAATGTGGATTACATCTGAGTTCACTCTTACAATGAAAACACTTGCACATTTCCTAAAATCTCCTCACTGCTGAAAATACTTTGACCTATTGATCAGTACAGCCATATAGATTTATTCAGACAGTTTTCACAGCTGAGCTCCTAACACTTGCTTTGCCTTTGTTATACATCATGCTGAGGTGATGGGTACTAATGAACTATCCTCCTTAGGTTCTGTGGAGATAAACCTACAGCTACTACCAAAATTCCAGTGGTTTTCCCACAGGCTGTGCAGCTTGTTCATTACAATACCAAGGTTACCATCTAAAGATGTGCAGGCTGAAACTTTTCTTTGTGTGTTGCTCTGGAATAAGTAGGGAAGCCTCATTTTGTGAGTTCATTCAATCCCTAAGTGCTGATAAAAATAAATACTCATCTTTTCTCAGCTAAGCTATCTAAATATACTTCGTGGGAAAAGTAGGCAACTTTTTGAACTTCTGTTGAAAGAAAAAATATTCTCTTCTAAGTCACATGTTGATGCCCACATGTTGCTACAGTCATTAGGATTCTGCTGCAATTTCACAATAAATCTTTTTTTGTGCTGCCTCAGCCTAGAGCTCAAGCTTCCTCTCTTACATACTATTCTTGAGCCTGATCTAAAACTGTAATTACCTTGTGCAAATTCCTCGGCTGTAGCTTGTGTCTGCACACAAGTGCAGAACGACCAACATATCTTCACTTCCTGCTGGAATGTGCTGCTAAATATAGTAAGAAAATATGACAAGTTTGGAAGTTTGCTTAGGAAGCAGGTGGTAATTGCATTTCAAAGCCAACCACTGACTGGTAACAGGAGTGATAAGCAAATAGAATTCGAGTAGTGCAAGCCAAGGTTTTGTACTGATGTGAAAATACAGGTAAAAAAAAAAACAACATGAAAAACAATGCATTCAGTTACATGATATCATCTTTGTTTTAGGATACAAAACAATTACCTAGCCTTACAAAGAATTAATCAGGATCTGGAGGATAAACTTTACAGAATGGTAAGTTATCATAAGTGTTTTTAAATATATTTAACGTGGTTTTGTGGTTCTTAAGTCACTGGAAAAACATGTATGTAGTTGTCACAAAAACACCCTAGAGCTCTAAAAGCAGTTATGCTTAGAAAAGATATCATGATGAAGAGCTCAAGCTGTGTACAATGATATAGCTCCACCAATTTAAATAGAGATTGCCTAGACTGATGATCTAGCTGAGCAAATTGTATCTTTAAAATAATTTTGGTTAATTTAGTTAATAACTTCATGGGATCTAAATATTTATGTTTTCATTAAGTGTCAAATTTAAATAAGGTAATCCAAGGTTTTCTCATGCTTCTTAGCTATTTCCACTCAGCTTTTATTAAGTGATTTAATAGAGTTTGGGTGGCTTGACTTTTAAATTCCTTCATAACTATCAAGCTCAGTATACTAATTTCCAATCTGCATGTATCTGCCACCACAATGTCAATGTCACTGTCACAGGCCAATTAATAAACAAGTGAGGAAAATACTGCAGCCTTTGTGGCTGCACATTCCAGAACACAGCACCACTGGTTCAAAGCAGCTTGAAGATGTCAAAAAGAAATGGCAAAGCCATTGGGGTCCTGGCTCATTGCTGATAATGCTGGGACACCGTGCTCACTGTTAGGGGTAAAACTACAAAGGAGTGTGAGTTTAATGTTTAGAGAGGAAAGAATGACAATTTGGAACTTCCAAAGATCTCAGGCAGAAATTGCATGGATGGGGAGGAACAATTTATTGTGGATTTTGATTGCATACAGGAGAGGCACCAGCCTTTGCTAATAAACAAATATTTGAAAATGTCATTGTTCTTATCTCAGAATCCTATTTCAATAGCTAACAATGAATAGGGGACTGAACTTTTGCAACTGGCTAACAGGGCAAAATTACAGCTGGGCTGTAGCTGACATTTGTTCATAAGTACGTGTTTAAACATTGTAAAAGCATAAATAACATTTGGTCTCAGGTTATTGCTTTTTTTCTGCACTCTTCCTTTGTTGCTTTTTCTTTTTGCCTAAATCACTTCAGGATTTTGTCTTCATCTGCAGCCCAACATTTATTACCTATGCACCACAAAAAATAAATAGAGTCATTCAGGCTGGTAAATGAAATAAAAATAATGCAAACACCCAAAGAAGGACTCCAGAAAATCCATGTGTTTTTATCAGGTATTTCAGATCAAAGCAAAGAATTTTTAAACTACTGTTTCAGCATCCGGTTAAATCCCTGAGAAATTATTTCAGAGCACAGCACAGAAAAACTGAAAACCAGTCCTGTGGAGCACTGTGCCTTTCTTTATCCCACTAATATGACAGTCATTGAAGATAGCTTTAGAGGCTTGAAGAAGATCAATCAGGCTCTGTACACCACTTAACTCCAGACCGCTTTGCTTTCTGAAATATTGAAACTGAAGACACAAAACAAACCAAAACAAATGTCAAATAGAAACTCCATTAAAAGGAAAAAGATGAGGAAGAAAGTACCATATCTGATTTAGATAACTCAAACCTTTTGATTTTCAGGGCATTCCAAGAGCCCTCAATACTTCAGAGACACTTAAATTAAATAACAGCTGGTCTGGTTGATCAGCAGCTTATGGTGGACTGGGCTCTTGGATACCTTTCTCTCCCTTACCTCCTTAGGAGGAAAGCTGTGTGTATTTATTGTTTTGTTTAGTTTGTCATTCTAAAATCTAACACTTTTGATTTCTCTACGCTTATACAAATCCACATCTATAAGCCATGTGTTTACTTTGTCTCTCCCCTATCCCATCCCTCTGCATTCACACATGTGAATACACACACACACACACACGTTTTTACTATAGGGTGGGCTCAAATTCAGCAAGTAGGAAAAGCAAGACCCCCAGGCAGTGGTCCCTTGCTCCCCTTGCCTGCAGATAACATGGGATGTTTCCAGGAGTTGAGTTACTCCCTGCCCTAACAGGGAACTCACAATTCCACCTCTCCCAGTGACTGATTCCTGCTCATTGCAACTTATCTAGGACTCCACCGGGACCTCCCTTTTCTAGCATTTTTGGTATCCTGAATGTTAAAGCCTTTCATGCCTGCTATTGGTATGAGATGTAAAACAATAATCATTAATTCATCAGCAGTCACAGAAAAGAAGCTGATGCAGCAGTTAATTTTCTTCTAGGCTCTTCTTCCTTTTGGGTGCTAACCTATAAAATATTTAAAAATATTTGAAAGCACACATCTGATCACAGCAAATGGTATCCAGTTGAAACCTCTGTCACATCAGAACTTGAAGTATAAATATAAAATATGAGCCATGGTGTCTGACTTTGCTAAGTGCTAAAAAATGTAACCCTGAAATCAGGGTAGAGCTTGCTGTACTAAACTGGACAAGACTAAACACATGGAACAGTAGAGGAATGTGGCATAGCATTAAAATTCTGCTGGAATTCCTCATAAAACTTCTGTTCTTACTACAGTAAGTCTCTTCATCTGGAGAAGATTTCTTTAGTCTTGTAAGAAATGGTTAAGAAGTGGAATATACAGGCTGTCTGCCTAAATAATTAATCTTAATAACTCTTTTATCCATTAAGATGTGGGAAAAGACTAAGCAGAGTCCTCACATTTTTTACTGCGATTCCATCACAGTGCTCTTCAATCAAAAAAATTTTTATGATATTTAGTTCCAGTTGTCATCAGTAATCTTCACTTTCCTTTACACTTGTTTGAGCTTTTGGAGCATGCTCTTACATGGTCTTGCTGCTCACAAACAGCAATTACAAGTAGATTATGCAAGTCATCCCAACCACAAGAAATCCTTTATAAGAGCTCAATCCAGCTGTATTCTCCATATGATCCTCTCTAGAGTTAAGCAATGTATTTTTAAAAGCTTTTGAAGTTTTAAGGCTTTTGGTTGCATTTAGTTCTCTAGTTTTACCTTTAATGCCATAAGCCAGATTTTTAACAGTATCCTCTTTTGGGAAGAACTGGTGCCTAATAATAGCTGCTTAATAAACCCTACTGCTAATGAAAATTGCACCCATTTCTCCTCCTCCATCTGCATTTTGAATGTTCTTGAAAACATGATCACAGAAATCCAGCTGCAAAGATCTCAGGAGACCTTATTATCCAGAAACACCCTAAAATATGCCTCTTTTACAAAGTTTGACAGACAGACTGCTGGATGGTATCAGCTCTGGTTCCCACCTCTGCAAAGCCAGCACCAGCCCTCTGCACACAGTGCATTAAGCATTTTATGATCTATCATGATGAAAACTCTTACATTTTTACAATAAAACTGTACAAAATTTACAGCTGAATGTTAGAACCGCAGAACTTTCACAATATTACACACCAAAGTCTGATTTTTTCATTTACATTAAGGCAGGCTGAGAGTGAGGCTGCCATAAAGCTGGAAGAAATTATTATATAAACAAGCAGTAAAGAGGGATTTGTGTTAAGGATGATCATGTCTGAAATTCTGCACCTTCTGAGCACTGCACTGGTTTTTATCCCATTTCTGCCTCTCCCTATGAGCTGGAGGAACTAAGAGGTACAGAAAATACTTTATGCTATTGAGAGTTATTTATCAAGCTCTTGAATATCTGGGGTTTCCCAGTTTGCTGGCCATAACATTTACTTAAGCAACTCCAGTTGGGGAAATCCAAATATGAATTAAATACGAGCTGGGCAGTTTTAAGTGGTGCTCTGAGACCTTGTGTCAGGGAAATGTTATTTTAAAAGAAGCAGATTACTGGTTATCCAGGCCAGGGATGTAAAGAATATGGGAAGTGGTGAGGAATTTGATGAAAAATTTCAGTCAGGTATTAAAAACATTTAAGTAGCAGCTGTTTGGCTTTGGAATTTGAACCAGTCATTAGAAGGCACATACTTCTCTTGTGATACCTAGCAGCCATAACCCCAGTATGGTTTAAATCAAAAGTGAAAGATGAAAACAATGGAGAGAAATCCTTTTTCTCACACAAATGTAAGGAAAACAGAAGCCCAGCATCCTTGGGTTCTTGAATGGAACATGATGACTTTGATAGTGACTTTCAACAGAGTGATTTCAAGCCCGTCTTTTTCATTTTCTTTCCTTTATGGAAGAAGACGCTTCTCTCCCTCCCCCATGTCCCATGAAAATCAAATAGAGATGGCCTAAATATACTTTAAAGGATTTGCATCCCAAAGACAAGAAAGTTTAGAGTCAGCTCAACCTGGCAGGCTCATTTACTCACATTCAGTGAAGACAGCTGTGAATTTCAAGAGAAATCTGTACTGGTTGGCTAGTTAAGGCAGAAGCCAGAGAAGGTTTGTGCTTTGTGAACTAAACTGCAAAATAATATTTCCGTGGAAGGAAATGACCGTAAATGGCACAGAAACAAGTAATTTATAAAAATAGCAGTTGAAAAAATGCATTTCTAGGGGGACTTAAGGCTACATGGTTTTAAGCTTACAGGCACTTTGTGCTAAAGATGTCAATTTCTCACTAACTCTTTTCACACTCACATTACAAGTTAAAAATATTGCCAAATAGGCAATAGGACCTACACACATTAACACCTGTAGGAACTACACAAGCTCTGACTGAGTAGGTTCATGAGTTTTACAGTCAAATAAATGAATTCTCCTGCATAATGTGGGAACATGAGCATGAGCACACAAGCTTTCAGACATTCTCAGTCCTTTCACTCTTTCTGAGCAGAGATTCACTTCCCATTGTTGCTCCATTGTTTCGTGGTTGGTGATGGGTGCCCAGCCCTCTTCCCAAGAGACACCTAAGGCAGCCCAGCCACTCCCAAATTGCTCTAGATGAATATGACATCTTGAGAGACTGTTCTGGAAACTACTTTCTATTCTTCCAAAAGGCATGTGACTGTTCTGCTCTGTCTCTCCCTCTCAGTAGGACGTCTTCCACAGCTATGAGCAACCCAAGGAAGCTGTAAAGTGACAATGGACACCTCTCACTTCCAACATTGTCTCTTTTGCATGATAGCAAAACTCCTT